GCTGTCCGTTTTGATTAAACCAAACAGAACACAAATAAATTCTGTTAAATCAAATCAACCACATGCCATCCATTTTTTAACCGGACAGTGTTCCTCCTCATGTCCTTTTCGTTCACAACCCTGTTACTCGTAAAAGCAAAAATTGCTGGGTAAGAAGTCTTCGATAAACAGTAGAGCTTTTGTCCATTAAAGTGTAACCAGATACCTCATTACCTGAAATTGTCATACAAGCACTCTCTCGGAAGCCACAGTTTCAACACCCTTTCTATGAAAAGATAATCGGCCCCACATACTGTAACGTCAACCATTTCAAACCTCCACAACTGGAGGTTCGGTCCCTAACATTGAGGAGAAGACCCAAGGCACAGTTTGGAACCATTCATTTTCACTAGAGACAGTGATTAAAGCAATGTAAAGAAAACTTCTTTTCATCGCTAACAACCTCATTTAATCAACCAAAGTTTGGCTCGAGTCATTTCCGTTCGAAAGAATTTCAATCATGGCCTCATCTTCGTTCCACTCATCTGCAAATTCATTTGGGTTGCTGTCAGTTTCTTGAACATAGCATGGCACGCACACACCTAACTTCTTATTTGTACTGCTACTTCGTGTCCATTTTTCCCCTGGTTGCTGACCGAATGTCCAACAATAATATGGCAGAAACCAAACCCTTAAACTACTTCTTATTGTATAGATAAGAATGCGACGTGTTAATTGATTACAAGATCATAGTGTTAGCACACTTTTGTATTACGAAAAATAAATTCCAGCCTAGACCTCTACATCATCGTGTCCTGTATACAGCCATGACAGTGACAATTGAAAGTCCTTTTCATTGTTACGCTAGTTCACAACATTCCATGAGGAGGGCGCGTAATGAAATTTCTAGTTTCGTCAAACTAGTTTTCTGATAAAAATGTTTCATAAATCTTTATTAATTTATGCTAAGATTCTGCTCAAATGACATGTTTCATATAAAAATGTGAAGATAGTTTCGTTCAAGTTAGGAAACACGTCAAAGTCCAACTCGAAAAATTTACCTTTTTTTAGAACTTTCATTTTAATTTAATTAGAATCTTACTCATTAGAAAGTTTTTTTTCTAATTTATTTAAATAGTCTTATGGGCTATTTTTTTTTAGAGTATATTTAATGAAATAAAAACTTCTTAGGAACTACGAGAGTTTTCATAATTCTCTATAAGATTTCTTTGTACACGGTTTAAAGTTGTAAAACTCTAGGGATTCAGTAACCCTAATGTTATTACATCATACGCTGCCTCGTTCTAAAAAATTTAGCTTTCTAATTAAACAGTATATTATTATTTATGATGGCGACGCACTTACAATAACTTTGAGCGATTATAGCACGTGGCTGTGTCATGACCTAATTGGAAGTTGATTCGAATCTTGAGTGTCTAATAATGTCCATGCGAAAGGCTTGAAACTAGCAACCCTGGTCTCTGCCATGGAAGTTTCATATTTTAGTTTGACCATCCTCGGAGTTTTCCACCAAGTTGGCCGGGCTTAATTATTTTTTGGCTCGGCTGATATTCACACGCCTTCTTCGGAACCTTATCGAGTGCTTGTAATTATTTATTGGACCAAGGCTTCGATTAATTGCATCTGGATCGTCCTAAAATAAGAACAAAACAACAAAAAAACCTTCTGGATCCTCTGCTTTGTAATTGAGCTCAGCCCATGTCACGTCCCAGAAATTCTGCTTTTTTTTCAATAGAAAAACAAATTAATGGCTGATAACGAATATCGGATATCTAATATTTTTTTATTGTGACGGGGAGTGTTATTTAAAAATATATTAAACTAAATTTTTTTATATTTTTCTAAAATATTAGTACATACATCATAATTATTTAAAAATATTAATTTGTAAAACACATTTAAAAGTAAACACTCACTTAAATGTCAAAATTAACTTCAAACAACGTTCAAAGTTTGGATGGCAAATAAAACAAGTAAATTCACCTGAACTCGTTTAAAAAATAATTTAAATTTAAGGTTTTTATTAATTAGATTCGATCTAATTTCAAAGTCAGGAGGCTATTCTATAGCCTGTTTTTTATAATTATACCGGAAGCAAATAAAATCATAAATATAACCTCCACGCATATCCATTCTTATTATAGAAAATTCTGGTTAGGTAAACAACCACTCACCCCTTAAGAATATCGGTAAGTATACTTCTTATGGGTCGACGATTGTGTGTTTTTTTTTTTTTTTACATAAATTAGATTTTCTCGAGCAAGAAAAGACCAAATCGAGTACGTGTCCAGATTGGGTTGTTTGGTTAGGAAAATTCAGCGTCACCAAGCTGGACACGTCTACTCCTCTCCTTCACCCGTCACTCTTTGAGTTGATCGTAATCTCTCTTTATTTTGCACAATTTGTTACTGTTATTGCGTCACTATCTATGTTACACGTGGGCTCTGGGTCCCGCCTTAAGTTTTTTGACCTGATCCCTTTAATCGGTAGACCTCATGGCACGTGTCCATTCACGTGCTGCATGATCTCATCCGATTCAAAGAGGATACATTCTGGAGAAAAGAAAGCGACAGACCTGGAAAAAAAAAAAAAAAAGCTGGAGACGTCATCTTCAATAACAAGTTAATGAGCAGCCCCGTTTATAAAGTAAATTGGTAATGTAAATTAATTAATTGTAACGACCTTTACTGGAAAGAATAAAAATAAAAAAATGTTAGAACACTTGTTGCCTCGGTAACTTGTTCTTCTGAAAAATAATTGAAGCCTTCCATTTTACGTAACTTGATAAAGAAAACAGATTAAGTCGCAAATGAAAAGGATGCCAATTCGAAGGGTATAATTAAAATAAATTAATATTATGTAGCCAAACCATAATTTCTTTCTGCGTTCCAGGAGTAGTTGCTAAACTCGACGAAAAAATAAAATATAAATTATTGAGTTATCATCCTAATTCCAATCATTGAAAAGGTCGTTAATATTTGCTCGGACAAGTATCATAAACATGGTTTTGGGATTGTCAAGGTGCCCGCACACCTGGTTTCATCTTCGAAGGAGACGGGTAAACTAAACTCGATTTACTTACAGAGTACTAAACAAATAAATCAAACCACTTGCCAAATTTCACTAAAATTGCTTATCTGGTCTGGGGGTATGCAAATTGCCATCTCGTTGAAAGCAACAGCCGGTTCATCGAACATTGCTTTTACAAATACAATTAAATTAAGATAAAGTCCCTTTTATGTTCTCTTACTTTACAATCACAGGTATGGATAGCATTCCAAGTTGTTTTCAACGGCGGTGAGCGAGTTTTGTCCGAGTTCAAATTTCGACTGCGTTACCGTTCTTTTTTAAAATATATTTTATTTAAAAGTTTATTAAATAATATATTTTTAATTTTAATAAATTAAAACGATCTAAAAATATTAAAAAATAAATAAAAAATAAAAAATTGTTTTAATTTTTTTAGAAATATTCTTGATGAACCTAACTTTAAATAGGATAATGGTAGGAGCAATTTGATTGTCCTAGTGCGGTTATAGTAAACTCCATCCAGATATTAAAAATATTGGTATCGGATTAGCTTAATCTCATCCATCTACTTGAACTAAAAACAACCAACAACTGGGTACGTTGTTCGGTACTACTTTCTTATGATTTATGTCAGGAATAAAAAAAAATGTTTAAAATATGATTAAATGCTTTGTCCTTTATGCCCTCGGGTTGTCAAGATATTCTACACTAGGGGTGGCAGTAGGAATAGGAGATGGTATTTGAACATTATTAAATAATTAAAGGAGCATTTATTTAAAGTTGGAATAGACGAGTCACGAAAAACATAGCACGTTTTTTAGCTCTCAAAAAGGCATTGGTTTCCGGCATACCGATGAATTTAATTAATTAATTTATTTATTTTTACAAAGGACGATTCAATAGCAAGAAACTAGGGATGGTTTTGTGTTATTTAGTTCTTTTTTTTTCCAAGTTTTTCTATAAATTAATTCCGTGATGTTAAAGTTGCAACTATTGATATTTATAGCTTTAAAATGAAGATATACATAAAATATGAGAAAAGCACAAAGCAAGAGTTTTTATAACTCATTGACGGGACTATATATATATATACTTCTTGTTTTTTAATGATATAAATATTGGTAAATACAACTTGAGCATTATTAACTTTCTCAATAAAATATATAATTGTTTTTATTTATATAAAAAAAAAAAACCAAAGAACCCCCCATCATAATTTTGGCGTCTGGTTTTGGAAAAAACATTCAAACCAGAATCCCTTCTTTTTACTTTTCTCCAAAAAAAAAAATAGAATAAAAAAAATGAAAAGGAACCATTCAAATCAAATCTAATCTCAAGAAAAATGACCCAAAACTCTGGATTTCCCGACGAATGGACATATTCATTAATATTACTATCCGGAACTCATCATGACCGAATTGAATCATCATCACCAAAATATGCACACGCGTGCGCATGCCATACAGACAGACAGAAAGAGAGCCGCATCTTTAGATTAATTAAATAGAAATTACTACATCCAGAAGACAGGGGATGAGCTTGCCAGTTTAACCAAGGGATAAATAAAACCTAATTTAACAGATTTTTTTTTTCTTTGATCGAATTAAGGCCTCTTTTTTGGCTGCAGTTAAATTGGTTTTTTTCTTTCGAATTAGTCTTTTTAATATTTTAAAATCATTTTTACATGATTAAAATTAAATTTTTAAAAATAAAAAATATTATTATTTTAATAAATTTTTAAATAAAAAACACTTTAAAAATCCTAGTCTAATAAAATTAAAAAAACAATCAGAATTATAAACAGTGAATTCGAATGTTATCAGTACTCGAAATTACTGTAACCATGATTTTCCGCTCAGAGAAGGATTTCTGACCGAAACGGGTTAAAACAACTTCTCCTTTTACACGGAAATGAGAGACAGACTCGTCAATAATAATATTTAGACTGATCGACCAAAATTCCACTTCCAATTATAGAAAAAGCAGAAAAAATTACACCTCCAATAATTAAAGAAGAAAACAGAAAATTCAAGCATTACCTCCCCTAGCATGCAAACACCTTCAAATATGGATGGTGGGTTTGCATCTCACTCACTGACTTATCAGCGAGGGAGACCACAGTATTTTAGTGCCCACCGGAACTGGGCATAATGGGAAAGAACATAAAAAGGAATAGATTAAAGCTGGGAAGCGAGAGATAATCTCAAGACACAGCATTAGATTAATTAAAGAAAGGCCTTTCTTTAATTATATATTAATTAAAGAAAGGCCCTTCTTTAATTAAAGATTTGGATGTAAAGCATGTAGCAGACAGCTCTGTTCAATTTCCACATCATTCGCAATGGACAAATGTAAACATCAAATCTTTGAGAACAAACTATGCCTAAATTCCTATACCGTCTCTTTTCTTCTCTTTTTTCATCAGCTTCTTTCTTTGCACCAATTATACTAAAAAAAAATTAACGAGCAAATACAAAATAATACATAAACTCATAGCAAAATAAAATATTTCTAGATTCCCATTAAAAGGGAACAAAATAAATTGTGAAATCGATTCTAACCACTAGAGGAAGGATTGTGACTAGAATCTGTCCATGGGGGCACCGGAAAATCAGAACCACTGGCTTGATTCTGATTTTGTGGTGGCCGAAAATAACCCAGCTGTTGACCAGCGAAAAGCAGAGGGAAGGAAGAAGCAGAGGGAGAAAATGTTGATGGTGATGAGCCGGAAGATATTGCTGCAAGTGAAGAAACTGAAGTAGATGAAGACAATGAAGTCAAAGCCGATGATTGTAGAGAAGCCACCTGGGGATTATAGAACATATTCTGTAACAAACTTGAAGGTTGTTGTTGTTGATGTTGTTGTTGTTGTTGTTGTTGCTGTTGTTGTTGATGAAAGTCCCCTGAACTCTGCAACAACTGGGAGTACTCCCAGTAGTCCCTTATAATATCAGCTTGAGACTGAAACAATGCAGGTGCTGGCGCCTGCGGCCGCTGTGCCTGTTGCCTTGGAGATGAGATTGGCTGTAATTGAAGATGAGAAGATAGCTGTGAATGAGATATGGGAACTTGAGAAGCAGTAACATTTTGCGTTTGAGCTGGCAGCAGCCTAACATTTTCAGGGAAGTTAAGTTTAGCTCTATTTCCTCTGAATCTTAAAGCAGCTTCGTCATAGGCTCTAGCTGCAGCCTCTGCAGTATCAAATGTGCCTAGCCAGACTCTTGCTGCTTTGTGTGGATCACGTATCTCGGCTGCCCATTTGCCCCACGGTCTCTGCCTAACTCCTCTGTATCTTCTTCTTTGCTCTCCAGTTTCTTCCAGGGATGCTGTTTCACTTGATGGTGCTGCTGTAGTGGAGGGTGTGGTTGTGGTGGGGATTACTATAGTTGAAGCAGGCACTTCTTCGGTTGCTGCAAATGGTAAAAGAAGAGAGAGTATGGACTAAGAAAGCAAACTCTTCATATATATATATATAGAGAGAGAGAGAGAGATATAATTTGCGTATGTGTAATATTATTGCTTTAAAGCTAAGTGATTGAGATGCTAAATTCTATACCCATGGCTATGACGCATTGTTATTGTTATTCCATGTGCTGCTCATTTCTAGATGACTGCAAATTATTATTATTCTAAAGCAGACAAATTCAAGGATTTTGAGGGAAGGTGACAATAAAACCCACAAATACATGCAATAATAGATATGGTAGGATAATATTTAGATATTTCTACAAGAAATTTGCAATATAAACTGTTATAAGAAGTTAATCAATCAACACTATACAAAATAAAAAAAACATTGAAAATGAATCATTGACCAATTAATTTAGGTGGACAAGTAAAAAACTCAAGTAAAATAATAGAGCTTTGACAAGAATTGAGAGAAGAATAGCAGGGGAGAAACTGAGGGTAAAATTAATGATCTTGATGATTCAACTTACCAGTTGCACCGGATGATGATGAATCTCCTTGTGAACTTCTAAAATCATTAAACCCTCTATAAACCCTTGGCAAAGACTCCATCAATTGCGCTGCTGCACCAGCCTCTTCTTCTCTCCCTCTCTTCTGGCCAATCCACAAACCAGAACCAGAAGTAGAAGAATAGGCAGATAAAGGAGGAGAAGCAGGAGTACTCGTATTAGAACCAGGTGCTGCCTGACCAAAAGTTGATGTTATTGTTGCACCTCCTAGACCCCCAGCCGCATATGATCCCCAATCACTAGTACTCCCTCGTTGGCCTGAGACAACATGTGTAAGTTCTGATACCATCGACATCCCTGTTGAACTGCTGTACCCCATGAACATATGCGGTGATTGTGTTACCTCCACATGCTGCTCTACTGGTTGATTCAATTGAGAACGTATTTGTGGTGCTGTGTATGATCTCTCTTCTTGGTTATCATAGTTATCTGTTGCGGGGTACCTGGTGTACTCCCTCGGGTCTCCTCTTTGGTTCGCCACCTTCAATATGTACATGTAACTCGAACGAAAAAGCTGGGTACAGATATCAAGCGGGGTTTTTTTTGCCCCCTCTTTTGGATTTTTTCTCTTTTGTCAAATTGTATGAGAACCTTTTTTTTGAAGTTATAATGAAGGCAGGGGGTTATATATGAATCAGATAATTCAAACTTGTTCAGCCGTCACTGAAATAGTGTTAGAATCTTTCTGCATCATTCGCTGAACCAGGAGCTAGCACCACCTTTGTGATGAATACGGAGATACATGTTTTCTGGGAGAGGCTTATGTAATAAGGTTTTTGGCTTGTGAATTTTGTAACCTTTTTTTTTTCCCCTTTAAGAGGTGGGATACAAAAAAATTAAGTACAGAATCCGGAATTTAATATCCGTTCACACGTAGATTTGACTGATAAATTTGAGGTTCCATGGAACCCCGGGGGAAAGCCATTTCAAGTTAGAACAAGTAGGAGTTTAGATAAGAAACAGAAAGCGTGTCCAAATTGAGTTCTTACAAGCAGAACCGACAAGAATATGAGAAGATCGGGCTTTCAGATTAATTTAGGAATAGCCCATAATTATTAGCTAGGTGGGCTGTCGAAAGGTTTTCAGAAACTTGGGCTAGAAGATGATGGTTCGTAAGTTGTTTCCAGCATTTTCCTGAGCTGTAAAAGTTGAGAGATGTCCCTGTGAACGTGGTTGAAGTTTTGGGCGGGATTGTGTAAATAAATGCTTTTGTTCTGACTTTTCATTTTGTTCAACACAAAAGCATACACCGAGTAAAACTGAGGTCATTGGATTGTAGACAAATTGTACTCTTCTGTTAGTTCCATTGGACCACAATCTTCGATGGTGTTTTATATAATATAAGATAATATAATATCTGGGGTCAATGCTCTATATTAAAACCCCTTGCTTGTACAATTTTGTAACACTGAACTTCCATGGATAAGAAGTCCCGAGTTTTAACTCTTGTGAGCAGATGGAATGAAGTAAAATATTGAGTTGGTTTTCTTAATGGCCAAGTGTTTACATATTTGTTTCTAAATGATATGTAATGTCAAAACACGTCTCTCGGTTGACCTCTAACAATCAGCTGTGTGGAATTGTCTGTACTATTTTTTACTGAACTAATAAAATATTCAATTAAAGTCATTTACGCAAAAGAAAAGATGAAATTCTCTGCTTCAACTTGGCCAAAAAATTTACTGGCCCGGTTCTGGTAATTTACCATGCCTAATTACTCTGTAATTATGCAGAGGCTGATCACCAAGATTCTTGATCTTTTGGTGTTTAACCAGGAACAGGCAAGGTGTAGCTAGACTAACCTCCTGTTTCAACTTTGGTGGAAGCGTTGTTGCTAATTTGGCTTCGGTGAGTTCAAATTGGGAGTGTTAATAGATATTCATGAATTAGGTTCTTACTCTCTTGACAATTATTTATCGAATAAAAAATTTAGATTTTCATTAGATATCCAATTAAAGAGGGTGTGTCTATTAAATGGAGAGATTGGGAATATTATACATGTGTGTATATGTGTCAATATTAGGTAGTAGTTTTAAAAAAATATAAATGCTTGATATATACATACATGTATATGATGCAAATATATATATATATATATATATATATATATAAAATTAACTTGTTCAGATCAGTTTATATCCGTATCCATTAAATTTGAGGATTAAACTGTGAGGCTTCAAAATTAACAGGAAGTGTGACAAGTAGTTCCACTCAATGGTTTCAATTTCCCTTTAATTATTCGGCGAAGATTGCCTGTATCAAGGTTTGATGAGGCAGGGCTAGTTTTGTGCGAGGCCCACAAGACAATTACTTTTGATTACGACAGTGACTATGGTCGAGAAGGTTTATCCTTCGATGAAGGTTGGTATAAATAAATTGAAATATATCTCTGGTATAAACGGTGACGATCAAAGATTGGAAGATAATTATAAAGGGTGCTTCATCTATCTCCATTATTGTCATCCCTAAAACGTACTAGATCAGCTTTGATTAAAAGTGTGGCTACAATAGTTTTTAAAATATTTTTTTATATTAAAATAATTATTTTATTTTTAAAAAATTATTTTTAAAATTAGTGTATCAAAACTATCTAAAATATATATAAATTTTTAAAAAAAAAATTAAATTTTTAAAAGATATAAATTAACCTGCATCCTCAAGTAAAAAAAACATTTTAATTTTTATCTATCTTGTGTGGCTATAGTTGTTGCACCCGCAACTCGGCCCGTGTCAAGTGTTTTCTTACCAGTTAGATTTAGATTGTTTAGTAGAAAAGATATAAAATTGATATTTTCTTCTATTTTCAATAGTATTTAATTATGACATGACTAGGATCTTAATAGTTTAGAAAGATAATAGTTTGTAAACCGGCGGGATTCATGTTCTTTCAAAATGCAAGAAAAATATACAAGTTTTAAGAATTATTTGATATTATTATCAAATTTAAAAATATATTCATCTTAGAATTGTTTTTATTAGGATAAATTTTTTTATTAACTTGTTTCTAGTTTATCTCATCCAATGCTATATTTTTTTTTTACTAAAATCATTGTTTTTTCTTAAAAAAATATATTTTATTTTCGTTAAAGTAAGTTAATAAATAATCTTAAAATAGTACGTTCATATTTTATGTAATTGAAAATAAAAAAAATCATAAATTTTATAAAATCTATTTAAAAATTTTAATATTAAAAAATCGATTTCAATTGAATTTCCATGAATAATTTATTATTAGTACTACTATTTAAAAAAATCATTAAAATAAAAATAAAAATCTATAATATTATTTAAGAGTAATTTAAAAACTAAAAATAAATGAATTAAACATAGAGTATAATAAAAACTTAAGGAAAAATTAAAAAAAGGAAAGAAATCAGAAAGCAAAGAGTCCCCAGTGCTGTTCCATCGGTAGGAAGCCATGCGCGCCTGGGGGCAAGAAAGCATGCTTGGCTTTGCTTTTATTTAATCTTCTTTTTTTTTGTCGTAATTTAGCAAATATGCGAGCCCCAACTGGATTTAAACCCGCTATCTCACCTTTTTTCCTGCATGCACCAACACTTCAGCTAGCAGATGAAATTGGTATAATTATTTCATATAAACTTTTTCAGAATGCATAGACAACCCTTCTAGCAAACAATATTGTCTATTAAAACCTAAACTAAATCCGCAAAATTAATTTTGAAAAAACAAGGGAGTTGGGGTCTAAGTCATTATATTTTTGTGAGAAAGATCAATGATTTGATGTAGGCCCACTGCAATACTTGATGCTCCTCCATCTTTACTCGAGGGCAGCGCAATAATTTAAAGTCATTATAGTTCATTCGGATAATTGGAGTCATTAAGAGGACAAATCATGTAAATTATGTTGGATTAGGTTTAGCCGCTGGCCTGCTGTAGTTTCTACCTGCATTATCTGTGGTCGGCTTCCTCGCAAAGTAGGGCTCCTCAAGCCGCCCTATGTCTGTACATTGGTACGGCAGAGAGCCAAAAAAGCACACACTGATTACTCATGTTCATATCTCTCTTCCGTAATCTCAATTGTTTATGTGCCTTGTTGACCTTTTAGTAAGGAGCTTTCCTGATCTTCCTAAACTCGTTGTCTTATTTTGACAGAGTCGTCTTCCTCTCTTTGCAGCTATTTCCTAAAGTTGATGGATAGATCTTCAACGACATCTTTCGGGATTTAAATTAACTTATCGAAAGTTTGCGTCATCAAGAAATTTTCTATATATTTGTAATCCACCTCGTGTTCTCTTTTAAGCATTCATTTTTCACCCTTCATGCTGGCTGATTCAATAATGGGACGAAACGGGAAAAAAAATTAGGCATAAAGGGTCCTTGTGAAGTGGATGGCTTTCCTTTCAGACAGATCGTATACGTGGAAAGTGTTTGGAAATCTTCAAATGTTTTTTTACCTTTTTTTAATGGCATAAAATAGTGGATGTTAACAAAATTCAATTAGGTAGGGATCAGATACAGCTGCGCTGTAAATTCAATTAGGTAGGGATCAGATACAGCTGTGCTGTCATCGTCTACTGGCCAAGGTTCAGGTTCCGAGATAGACTAGGGCTATATAAATTTCGAGATATGTTTAAAATTCGTTTTTCCGACCGGACTGTGCGCGGATGCTTTGAAATTAAAATATTAAGCTTTGAAAGTTGGAATTTTTTTTTAATTATTAAATTACGAAACATGTTTAAAGTTGGAGTTTTTTTTTTCTTTGACTGTTTTGATTTGATATGTTCAAAATAAATTTTAAAAAATAAAAAAATATTATTTAATATATTAAACAATTTAAAAAACAATAATTATCATACTCTCAAATATTCTTTAAATAAATAAAAAAAAAGAACAAACAAGCGTCAAACACGTTTTAAACTAAATTATGGTTAATCATGAATTATTCAAATAAAAAAAAAGATTATATTCAATTAAAATATAAACAGCAGAAGGTAAGGGGACATATTCATTTTTAGTCACAAGCAGGGAAGGTTCAAAGGGTGGAATTTTTAAGAAGACGAAGAAACCATTTATAAACAGCACAAATATGACTTTCATAAGTGGGATATACCCAGAAACGTGGATAAATGCCAATCCCACTGATGATAATTGCATTGTTAATATGGTTAGTGAAAAAGGATGAATTCCTGCGGTAAAGATAAAGCAGAAATCTCCACTCCCTGTTACATGTAATGCAAATTTCTTATCCTTTCCATAGAAAAATATTTGTCACGTCGTGGGTTAAGGTCTCCTCTGAAATCAATTTTTAGACATCATCTCTTAATTATTCAAACGATCAATTGATACTATAACTGAAATTCAATTGGCACCCTTTGCTTGAACTTTGAAATTCTTGAGCGTGGAGCAGCCTTGTTTGATTGGATCACTTTGTCTTCAGCGCTATTTTTCATGTAGTTGAATTCTGTATTATAATAATAATAACAACAATAATCTATAGGAGAAAAATGACATATTAAATGACAAAAAAACAAAATTTTTGACTTGGATAAAAAGCCATCCATCATTTACAAACAATATGTTTTTCTTTTTCACGTGAGATTTAATACTTTGGTTTTTAAAAATTAGCACCATTGAGAAACCTTTGTTTGCCATTCTTTATGTACATACCACTAGTTATGGTGGCCATGTTTCATTGCGGATATGGATTCAAGATTTCAGTCATGTTTTTGAGTTTTTCGAGAGTAGATTCACAGTATACAACATTGAATTGGTTGAAACCCGAACTAACTATAAAAAATCATAAGGCAACGTTGGCCAAACTTTTTTTTTTTAAAAAAAATAATGACATATTAAACATGAAAAAGTTGTGCAATCCTCAAAGAATTCTTTAATAATATTATTAAACTTGGACAAAGTTTGTTAACATTAAAAAATTTTAGCCTGAGGTTGAACACTAA